AATTTGTCCCAGTGAGTTTGTGATGGGGCAGTAAGCCAGATGGGACAGACAGTGCCTGGGTCTCTGGGCCCCACTCTCACAAAACACCCCCATGCACTGTTTTACTTGTCCTTTCCTGAAGGTGGAGCTTCTTTGCACTTTGAAAACTTGATCTTGCATGTTTGTGTGTTGTTTCTCCTCCTACTTAGAATGGAACCTCCATGAAAGCGGAGGAGAAGCTGGCGATGTCGTTCACTGTTGTATCTCCAGCAGCCACAACAACTTGGCGTATAGGCGCTCGATATTTAAGTGACAGAATTAAAGATAGACTCTGCACTCTCAAATGGAAATGTATTTCCATTTTAGTGCAGGAAAATAAATATTACCTTCACTTGTATATCATGGCCCATTCTTTGGGCCTGAACTGAAGTGGAACCTATCAGAGGATAGGAAATAAGATCTCAGGAGAAGTATCTATTATTATTTGCAACTTTCAACTGCATTCAGAGAAAAGTATTTTTTCTCTTTTGATATGTGAGGATTTTCTAGAAAGGAAAGGTTTCTAATCTTATCAAAAGCAGGAGTATACCATGCTATCAGAATTGAGTTTTTACATCAGCCAGCTGGATGGTGGTTTCAAACTGCAGCTGGGGTGGTGTGTTCCATGAGCTTAGCTTTAGTTGAGTGCTAATGAAACAAGTTTGCCAAAATCACGAATTGTAAAAAGCCATCAAAACATTACAATGTAGGAGAAAAATGTAGTGAAAATTTCAACATATACTGTCCGAATGGTTTCTCTTTCTGAAGGCTTTAAACAGTTTCTTAGGTAATTTGCAAAGACTATCTGACAGTGTAGAAAATATGTATAAAATTAGAATGACATTAGCTGAGAATTTTGAGCATATAATTAAGGGAATCTGGACTCCTTTTTTCTTTAGTGTTTGTATCTCTCTTTAATATGCCAGTAGCTAAGTTTTCCATAGAATAAGGACATATATTTAGGTCAGAACTCTTTGACATATTCCTCAGGATATCCAATTCAGGGTTTTCTCTAGGAAGAAACACCGTTGATTTTGGAACCCGGACGGCTGGGCTGCCTACTAGTCCACGTTCTGACCTTAAATTACCCTGCTGGCTGGCTTGGCTTAATAGTTTGATTCAATAACATTATGACTTTGAGTGAGTTACTTACTATCATTCTATCTCAGTTTTTTTCATCTGTAAAATTGGGATAATAATAGTATATTTCAAGGTTGTTGTGAGGAATAGACATATTAATACACATCAAATGCTTAGAAGAGATCCTGGCACATAGGAAACACTCCACAGATAATAATGTTATCACTGTCAAATGTGGTTATTTTGAGGGTAATATAAAATGGAAAATAGATAAAATAAATTTGCAAATTAAAATTCCTATCCAAATTCAAAGGAGGATTGATTGTCTCTGTGTATCAAAGGTGACCTTAGTATTTGCAAAGCTCTCTCTCATTTATGGGTACTTGCTGTGTGTCCATTTACGCTTCCCTATACAGGCTGTGGAGTTAATTTCTAGGGTGCTCCATCAATCGTCAACTAGGAATGCTCTGAGGAAAAGAAGTTTAAGTGCTGACTAGTTAGAACATGAAATAACTTTGAATTTTCTAAGCCTTACCTTTACTTGAAATTTTAACTTTGTTAAATTTCTAAGCAAAGGGTTAAAAATCTATGCTGATCCATTATTAGATTCACAGTGTTCATAGGCAAAATGGAAAAGGAAAGCAGATAACGCAGGAAGAAAAATGACATTTGAGGAAAAAGATTTTTGTTTTTAAATAACTGTTCTATGTTAGTAAATTCCATGGATGTTGTCTTATCATTTTTGTCTCTGCAGCGAATGGAGCAGATTTGGAACATAACCTTCCCCCCGCTGCTTAAAATATATTGGCTATTATATTTAACAAGACTTAAGTTTTTTAAAAAGTAGAGGTAATTAATTGTGAAGTAGTTTGATGTTCCGCAGGCAAAGGAAACACATTACTTTGTGTAAACAGAGGTTAATATGGAGACTTTGAAGTCTAAATTATTGAACTGTTTGCCTAACGACAAACTGTTTAGGTTTCCTCTGGCCTGTGCGATAAACTACAGTGGTGGAAATAACACAAAAAATTCTATATGTAAGACATTTGGGTCCTGCTTGCAAAGCATGTTTGATCCATACATGCTTTACCTTTGAGTTTACCTTTGAGTTATGCTGACGAATTAGGGAACTTTAATTCTATTTTCCTCTCCTTGTAGTGGTCTAAGTGGCTCATGGTTGATAAAGACAGAAGCATATGTTTCTGGGAATGGTAAAACCTAATTTTGTTTAAGTTTTAAATGATCACTTGTCTCTGGAACTGGCACTAGGGCCAAAGAATGTTTATTACTTCCATGCTGTTAACATGGGAATGAGTCTGAAAGACTAAGTGAAGTTGATGCTTAATTCTGTTCTATAGCTTCCTTGGGCCTCTGCCAGGGTGATTTGGTTTTGCAAGAGTGACTAGGACTTACATAGTCTCATTTTTATTGTTGTTTTTGTCTGAAAGCATCTACCTTGAGGACAGAAGCCGCACTTTGCAGAGAAAAGACACATTGTTACTGATCTCAGCAAATGGACAACCCAAGGCAGGTGGGCAGGGGTGCCTGCGGAGCTTCAGCCTGTGTTACAGGTCTCTGGCCTTTGGGCAGTCTTGCTTTCGGAAGGAGGAAACACAATAGTGGTGGATTCTGGTTTGAAAAGACCTTTGGGACTCCAGAAGTTTTTACCTGTGTGTGCGGAGTGGGAGGTGCGATGTGCTTCCTGCTGTGTGGGGGCGGGGGAGCGGGACGCATGCCAGGCAGAAGTGGCACCGGTCCAACTCCACATTCACCTTTCCGAGATCCTTCCCTTTGCGCTGCTCTCGCCCTGTACCCTCTCACTGCTCCGGGGACTGTTGAAGTCACAGGGAGGAAGTTGCCACTGCTTATACCCTTCGGTCTTCCTGTGCCCCCAGGCTGAGATCTGTCAGGTGGGGTCTGGGGCCCGCCTGAAACCACGTTTGTGTTTGCGGTTCGCTCGGCAGTTCCTCCACGGCCCGGACTCTCACATGGAGCACTAGCTCACGTGACTGCAGCTCCCGTGGACCCCCTGTTCACAGATGCCCAGGAACGACTGTAGAACCCAAAGAAAGCTCTGGGTGACCTCTGCTATTTCGCAGCTGCTCACAGCACCAGTCACTGTGGCAACTGGCTCTGTTTATGAAAATGAATGAGGACCTCAAGCCTGGGACATCCACACTGTGGACAGAGCTCCTCCTGGAAATAGACTGCCTGCCAGATTGCCAGGGCTAAACCAAAACAAAGACATACCAAACACAAGTAGCCAGGAAGTGTTCTGCTCTTGGGGGGTGGTAGGGGGGCACACATACCACGGCCTGATTGCCTGTATCCTCCTTCACCAAGCAGAACCATGTCAGAGCGAGCTTCTCCTGGATATGTCAGAGAAAGAGGCAGAGACCATGGTACTAGTATGGGCAGCGTGCAAACACAACCTTGTATGCGCCGGCCTGGCCTCTAGCTCTGGATTTAGATGGGTTTAGATGGAAGCAGTGTTTAGGACCAAGGATCTGACTGTTTGAAAATCTTATTTTAGGTCCTGCCTTTATATAAACTCTAAAGCTTTTAGTCTGTACCTTTAGAGTGAACCCTCGTCTGGAACAACTGAGTTTGGAGTTTGTCCTCTTAGAGTCCTTGCTCTCACAGTGATTGTCTTTAGTGTCCAGAGCACCCTTGGTAGTTTTGACCCCCCCATGGGAAAAGCCATAGAGACATCTTTGGGCACACTTTGAAGCCCAGAGCTTCCTTTGAGGGGAAGGTTATGTTCTGGGTACTTCTAGCATTCGTAGGTTTTATGCTTCCATGGCTGGACCCTTCCAGCTTATTTGCCCTTTGGCCTCACTTAGATGCACACTGGGACACTTCACTTTGGCAGATCAGAGCCAGTGTGTGGTCTTCTGATGCCATGCCATGGCTCCCTTCTCCACACCATGCCTTGTCACTGTGTGTGCGCCTGGGTGGTGGCCCAGGTGTCCCGGTGGCGGAGAGGAGTTGGGGAGGTGAGTTTGCTGGCACTGGTGATTTGCCAACAGAACAGAGGCCCAGGAACATGAGCCAAAGAAAGAGGGATTCCTTCACATACATGTGAGTCAGCCTTAGCTTTAAGGTTTATAACACCCATTTACTGCATTGAGGAGGCCTTGAGGTCCCTCACTTGCTCTTCTTGCTCTGACTAGATGTCCAGGAGTTGGGGGGGAAGGGACCTGGGGCGGGGGTGCTCTTGGCTGTGACTGTAGTGACGGGAACATGGGCTTAACCAGAATTCCCTCCTGGGGAACTCCAGTCTGCCTCTGCCCCAGCTTTTGCTTCCTCACTCTGGCAGGGTGCGCAGGGTTGGACCAGCTGCTGCCCCTCGTGAGGGTGACCCGTCCAGAGGGACCCCTTCACTGTGGGCAGTGGCGAAGCTAAGGTCATTTGCTCCTCCGTTGCCACCGAAGGCAAGTACAGCTATGGGGCGGCTGCCCCAGTTTGCTTATGGTAATTCCTTACGAACTCTCCTGTTGATAAACTGAACTAATCAGCTTTAGTTTTCCTTTAACTAAGGATTTAAGTTAAAGTGTAACCACAAGTGTCCTGTTGGTTTTCATTCATTTCAGTGCTGAGCATTTATATGCTGGGCTATGGATTTGATATTTCCTTCCTGTCTTGGCTGAGATACCTGTGTGAAATATGAGTTTGCCTTTTGGCAAACTCTTTTTCCTCTGGCTAGTTAATGAAGCCAAAATATTCACGGAGGGCTGGAGGGGGTTGGGGGTGTGGGGGGGGAGAGGAGGTGTGATTGGTTCTATTTGAGAGTTCTTTGTGGGTGTGAACATTGGTGCAGGTGAATCTAATGCTTCACTCTGAGTAATTGCAATGAGGGAAAGAAGTAAACTTTTCCAGGTTGATGCCACAGCTATCATGACATGCACGTTCTCCTGGGGAAGCAGCAAGGAAGAGGACTGTTAGAGGATGTCCTGCCCTGGTGCTACCAGGCTTTGAAAAGCAGACCCAGGGTGATGGGAAAAGCTAGTACCTTGGAAGAGAGGAAGCCTAAACAAGATGATGTTGTAGACAGTCTGCAGCTGAACTGGTTTCTCCAGTACCCAGTCACAGTTGGCCAGTGAGGTTAATAACAAGTCATTTGGGAGTCATGTCTGTATTGGCCATAACCACCTTGTTTTCTGGATGGGGGTCAGACAAACTGAATAGATTTATTCATTCAGTGGGCAGTGAGTGACAGCAGCCTTACGAAAACCAGCTCTTTTTCAGCTTTTTAATGACATGCACTATTATTGTTGTTAATAGGTTGGCTAAAACAGTGAACTTGGGAGAGTCAAGGCTTCGTTTCTCTGTCCAGCACTCAGATGTTTTCTCCTAGTTTCCTGTGGTCATTCAGTAAACACTTGTCAGGTGCCTACTGTGTGCCAGCAACTGTTATCGTAACCAGTAACTTAATCTTAGTTAATGAATTATCTCACGCAGTGTGCATACAAAGAAACCTTGAGAAGGGGAGGGCCATTGGGTCCTTTGTGTCTCTTCCTGCTCCTCCTTTGGTGCCCTCACATCAGGGAAAGGAAGTTAGCAGTCAACTTAAATCAGTTTACTTTGGTAATGACAGTTTTAGAAAAGGTTTGGAGCAGGAAATTGAAACTGTTGAGAAATAGGAGGTTTGGGAGATTACTGCTGGATTTTTCTTATTTTTGTTGTCCCAGGACTCTATCCCAGTTACTACTGATAATGAACTTTTTATGTTTAACTGTCTTGTCAGTAAATCAGTGACACGTGCCGAGAATAGAAACCAGTACCATTTCATGTTGTAACCGCCAGCCCATGTATGCCCCACTGGTTCTGTTGTTGTGATTGTTGCTATGATGCTTAACATCAAATGCCAGCCATATGCCTGGCACTTTACATCACACTTACAGGGTCCCCACCCTAAGCAGCTTACCTTCCCTAGGAGCCAAGGACCCTTTCTTTATTGGCACCACGGGAAGTGGGGGAGGGAAAAAGACAGAAACCTTTCCTCAGTAAAAATGTGGTATTTTCTGCTTGAATCGATCAAGGGGACTGTATTCATCTTTTTTAATAAGGAATGCCTTTATTTAGGTAAATTTTTTTTCCCTGTTAAATTATGCTGCTTAAAATATTTTGGATTGAGTGTAAGAAGAACCGACTAATAACTCTGTTCGTTGTTTTCCTATTCTTTCAAGATATGTGACTTGCAATGGTTGACTAAGTACTAGGCTCTGAGAGGAGGAAATGAAACAGATATAACTCCTAGTCCCTGCTTTGTAGGTGCTTCCTGACCAGTGAGGGAAGAGAAAACACCAGGTGGCATGGTCAGGAGCTTTTTAAACTTAATGGTAGGTAGGAGAAAATTGAAACTTTACTAATTTCATTCAACACTTAGGTTGTTTTGTCTTTCTGCTTTATCGGCCATAGGGTCATCTTCAGCTAAAGGTGGATTTGCTTGTGGTTAGGGATGGCTGTCAGGAGCTGTCAGTGTGCTTGTTCCAACGGGAAGAGCAATGCTGGCTTCAGCTTTCGTGAGAGAGCTGCCTTCCCAGAACTCCCAGTATGCCCCTGCGTTCATTGGCTGAGTCGACTTAGCCACCCTTGAATCAGTCACTGGCAAAAGTAATGGAGTTACAGTGATTCTCAGCTGGAGAGTCGCATGCTGCTCACCACAGGGGCCTCCTACAAAAATAAATGTGAGGAGGAGTTACTTTATTTTATTTTTTTAGAGATAGTGTCTTGCTCTGTCACCCAGGCTGGAGTGCAGTGGTGTGATCGTAGCTCAATGTAAGCTTGAACTTCTGGGCTTCAAGTAATTCTCCTGCCTCAGCCTCTCCAGTAGCTGGGCCTACAGGTGTGTGCCACCACACCTGGCTAATTTTTTAATTTTTTTTTTTGTAGAGATGGGGTCTCACTATGTTGCTCAGGTTGGTCCTGAACTCCCGGCATCAATTTATCCACCCGCCATGGCCTCGCAAAATGCTGTGATTACAGGTGCAAGCCACCACTCCTGGCCATGAGCAGGACTTAAAATAGAAGAAATGATCATGTAGTAGGACCATGACAGAGGGATGAGAGGTCAAAGACAAAGTAATGGAGAGTAGGTCATAGCCCTTATTTGTGGGGCCCCTCTATAGGGCCCTCTAATATGGTACTTCACTCTGTACCTGCCTCTCTCTCCCTACTCCTAGAGTATAGCTTCTTAAGGCTAAGGCACCCTGCTTATTCGGTATTTGTGGCCACTCTACCTAGCACATAGTAGGGACTTAATATGGGTTTGAATAAATTGAATGAAAAGAGATTCTTCATATTCTTTAGTGTTTAACTTTTATCAAACATTGCTTGAAATAAGTGGATTGTTGACATCCTTACTCATTACATATTTTATAACAGCTTTATTGAGAGATGATTCACACACCATACAGTTCTCCAATTTAAAGTGTACAATTCAATGATTTTTAGTATGTTCTCAGAGTTGTGCAACTGCCACGACAATCAATTTTAGGACATTTTCATCACCCCCAAAAGAAACTCTATATCCATTATCAGTCTCTCCTCATTCTCCCCTTCTCCCAGCCCCTGGCAACCACTAATCTGCTTTCTGGGGATTTGCCTATTCTGGACATTCCATATAAATGGAATCAAGCAATATGTGGCCTTTTGTGTCTGGCTTCTTTCACTTAGCATAATGTTTTCAAGGTTCATCCATGTTGTGGCATGTATTTAGTATCAGTACTTGGTTCCTTTTTTTTTTTTGCTTTTAATTTATTTTTTATTTGTATTATATATATTCCTGGGGTACAAGTGCAATTTTGCTACATCGATAGATTTTGTTGTGGTGGAGTCAGGGCCTGCAGTGCATCCATTTCTGGAGCAATGCTCATTGTACTCACCGAGCAACCTCCCATCACTCACCCCCCCCATTCCTTTTTATAGCCAAATATTCCATTGTTTGTATATACCATATTTTAAAAAATCCATTATCAGTTGATGGACATTTGCATTTTTTTCCATTTTGAGGCTGTTCATAATGTTGCTGTGGACATTCTTATATGTATAAGGTTTTTTGTGGGCTTATGCTTTTATTTCTCTTGGGTATCTAGGAGTAGAATTTGCTAGGTCACATGGTAACTCTAAATTTAACCCTTTGAGGAACTGCCAAATTGTTTTCCAAAGTGGTTGCATTATTTTATATTCCCAGCACAGTATAGGAGGGTTCTAGTTTCTTCACATCCTTGCCAACCTTGTTATTATCTGTGTTTTTGACTGTAGCCATCTTAGTGGGTGTGAAGTGGTATCTCATTGTGTGTTCATCAATTTTTTTAAAAAGATCAACATTTGCTTGGACACCCACTGCATGTCAGAAGCTATTTGCTAAGTCTGGAGACAGAGAGATGAGCAACCTTTGGCCTTTCTGCCTCTCTGGCCTCATCTCTTTTCACATCTTTCCTCTTAATTTGTGTTCCCAAAACACCAAATTGTTTGTAGCCCCACACTGCCATGTTGTTACTTACCTCTAGATATTTGCTTGTGCTCTTTTATCTTCCTGTAATATGAATACTAATGCGATGCTAATACTAATACCATTATTGGTTAATGCTTTAACAGTCAATAAATCATACATTTGGCAGTCTGGCTCCAAAGTCTGTGTTCTGTGCTATGTATTTTTTTCCTTTTAAAATCAACTTTATTGATGCACACATTTTAAAGATACATTTTGATGAGTTTTGATGAATGCATATGCCTGTATAATCACAACCACAATAAAATATAAAGCAGTTTTTTATATCATCCATCCCTCCCTCCAATTCTCTTATGCCCCTTTGGAGTCAGCATTCCCAGTCCTAGCCAATTACTGATCTGCTTTCTTATTTCTAGAATAGTTTTGCCTGGTCTAGGATTTCAAATACTCTCTTGTGTGTGGGTCCGTTTTGCTCAGCAAAATGTTTTTGGGAGTCAACAGCCAGGTTGTTGCATGTATCAGTAATTTGTTCCCTTTCCATGCTGAATATATTCCATTGTATAGATATAGCCCAATTTATTTATTCCTGCACCTGTTGATGGACATTTGTTTGGGTTTGTTCTTTGAATATCATGCAGTTAAGTAGTTACGAACATTTGCAAACATGTCTTTTTGTGGACATATGTTCTCAGTTTTCTTGAGTAAATACCTAGGAGTGTAATTGCTGGGTTGTATGGTAAATGAACGCTTAACTTTATAAGAAACTGCTATTGAGGTGGATTAGGGAGGATCCTCTTCTGTGCTCCCAAAGCATCTTGGTTATTGATTATTCACTTGCCCATCTTTCCCATTAGTCTGTGAGCTCCTTGAAGATGGAGACTCTGTTCTTATTTCTGTATCCCCAGGACCTTGTGTGGTACTTATCATCTAAGTAGCTGCTCCATAAATGCTTGTGAATGGGTGACTGAATTGGCCATTATTCAGCTTTACGGGGGGGGGGGGGGGTTGCTTATGGCCCTGTAAAGGAGATAAAATTAGACATAGAAACAGCTGTAATGGAAAGTAGAAATCAATAGAGTTGAAGAACAAAGTCAATGGGAGTTGAAAGAGAGATGGCCTTTAATGGGGAGGATTTGGGAAGGCTGATGAAAGAGGTGGGATTTCAACTCAGCACCAAAAGATAGATTTAGATGTGCAGAGATATTATTACTCATTGGTTCTAAAGGGATCTAACTTGATCTTCTGTCTCAGAAGATTGGGGAGGCTGGAAAATGAAGGCTGTGTTTGGGAAGGTCACACTGAGATTCATCTATGTTTTAATGCTTTGCTAGTCTCAGCCTACAGCAGACACTGGGAGATATTGACACTGGGGTTATTCTTTTGAACCACGTCTGATGCTGTCCTGAAATGAGACATTCGGAGCAGAAACCAATCAACCAGCATTGGCTTTGGTCAGAATTATTTGTATAATAAAGTAGGGCATATGTTTTAGTTTTTAATTACACAAGTAATACTCAAATATATTTGCATAGTAAAAGAGTTAAATGGTCTAGAAGGACAGAGAGCAAAGTCAGAGTTCCTCTCATTTCCCCAACTCCTCTCTAGCATCACCCCAGTTCAGGTAAGAACTATAATATTTACAGTTAAGAGTTATCCATTCCATCCCTTTTGTATACATTTATATATATAGATACATATTATAGAGGGTTAATAAATTGTATCATTCTTTACATACTCTTCTGCAGTTACAAAATAGAACTTAACATGTTATTATTTCTGTCAGCACAAATAGCACTGTTTTAAATGCAGCGTATATATTTCATGGTACAGGTATACCATTACTGATGAACATTTAGGTTATTTTTAGTATTTCTCTATTATAAATACTGTGGCAGTTAACACCTATGCCTGTAATACTGTAATACCTTCACAGTTATGTTGTAAAATTACGATATAATACAGCTGGTGTATTTACAATTATCCCAGTTACCACACAGTGTAATTGCGGTTATGATGTAATATCTTTACAGAGAGGTTGGATGGTTCAATTGCTATCCAGACCTGGCCAAGAAGATTGCAAAAGGTTTAAAATGTTCCTACTGGTCTTTATTATTGAACGACCACTAAAAAGTATGAATTGAGCGTTTAGGTTGCTCTATAGGTAGAAGGTTAGTTAGCGCCTAATATTTGCCAGGTACTTTCTTATGTATTCGCTCATTTGAATCTTATAATAATCTCATCTTATAATAATCTCATGAAAGATGTGCTGCTCTCCTCTGTTTATCTGAAGCTAAGACTGAGAAAGAGTGTGACTTCCATGAAGTGACACAGCTTCCAAGAAGCCAGTTCAAGATTTGAGCCGTTGTCCCCTGATTATCAATTCAGTGTTTCTTTCCTGGTTCTGAAACTGGTTTATTCTCTTAAGAACTTAAAGGAGAAAACTTTTAGAAGGTAAAATGTCTTTGAAATAATGGAATCATAGCATGATCAGAGAAAGGAAGAGTGGACATCTCTGGATTTGGGGTGGTGGTGGGCAAGCCTCTAGCCCTGTCATCAGGAGGCTGTGGTGGTGGCTACACCAAGAGACCTTGGTGTCTGACAGCAGCGTCCTGCTATTGTGAACCATGGATTTAGTATCATGCTAAGAAATAAATCACCGCCCGGAAAGGCTGTGTGTTTAGATGCTGCTGACTCCTGACTCCTGTAGCCCCTCTCCCAACAGAAGAATGGCACTCGGCGGATGAATTGTCTCAACTTCCTTTGAGTTTTAATCTCTGTGTAGGTCAAAGGGTTGTTTTTAGCCTGTGGGAAGGTTTAACTCTTTCAGAAGTGACCTCTTATACAGGGACAGGGAGGTGGGATGATGCTTAGGATTTAAAGGTAGTTTCTGAACTCTTCCTGGACCCTGTGTTTGTAGATCCCTTGAAGTAGGTGTGAGCAGCCTTTAGGAATCTGTTCTATTCCATAGTAAAAAGATCTGTGTTCATGGATTGTAGGAGGATCTTGTTGATGAAATAATCTCAAATTTAAAAATGTCATCAAATGTATTTGAGGAAGAAAACTAAGAAAATCTGGAAAAACAAAATCGCCAACAACAAAAACAAAACACCCTGATTCATAATAGGGTAAACGATGTTCTTATAGTGAATGCGTCAACATTTTTAACAGACGTGTATGCAAGTGTGTGGTGATGCAGTATGTATATAAAAGTCAAAAGTACAAATATAGTCAATGTTTACATTAAACCTCCCGCCTCCAACACACACACACACAAAAGGTCCCACTTGTATATGTGTAACTACATCTTTGAATATTCCCTTGATCCCATATTTTTCCTTTTCCCCAAACACATATTTTGGTCACTTCCCCAAAGAAACGTGATATATATTAGCCTCACATAGAACCATAGGGAACACACTCAATTGAATCACACCTCTCTGAGTAGTGTAGAAAGTATAATGTTTTAAAGCACCAGGGACCGGGGATGGCAGGTCCACGGGAATCCTAAACGCTGGTTTCCAGCCGCAGCTGTGCTGGAATGAAAATAGAAAACAATGAAGCATGTGCAGAGTCAGCTTTTCTTTGTGTCACAGCTCAGCAGTTTTCCTGCTGTCCTAAACTTTCCTTAAAACAACAACAACAACAACAAACTAGGGGCAAAGGGGAAATGATGTAGTTCAAACATTTTTTAATAGTAAACGGTGCAGATATCAAATAGCAGGGCTGTGGGGGTGTGTAAAACCAGAGCTAATTCGATGGTGAGAAATCGCATGCTCGTTGCTTGGTCATGAGGACGTGTGTGTTCGCGCACACACGTAAGCACAAAGAACACCTCACTAACCCACACATAAATACAAACACAATCGTGGATTTTCATCGTGGTATGGTAGGAGCTGTGCTGCTGTGGTCATCGTGAAGCATGAGTTTTATTTTTGCTTCTGCTGCTCTCTTACTGTGGGACCCTGGAAATATCACTTTATTCATTAATCAGATACTTTCATTTAACAAATATTTATTGAATGCTTATTATGCACAAGGCCCCATGCACTAGGTATTGGGGAGAATTAATAAGAAAACGCTTTCCCTTAGATGCTGGGGGAGTCATTAAGACACCGCTCAGCTCCGCAGTGATAGCGCTGCGGTGTGCGCCCTTCAGAGAGGAACCAACCTGCTGTAGAAATTCACAGGAAAGGGCGAGGTTATATCTAGCTGACAGAGGCTTCATGGAGGTGGTGAAGAACACGGAGCAGGGCTTTAAAAGCTGGGTGGGATTTCAGGGAACCCACAGATGGAGCTGGGGAACCGTAAGGCCTTTCTGATGGCCAGGCTCCAGGGGAAGGGGGCCTTATTAGTATAATAGGTATTGACCGCCAAGGTTAACTGTCTCCTAGTTTCTCTGGGACTCACTTTTCTCATCTGTAAAAAAGACAGTTGAGTCTCTCTCTCCATCATGTGAGGAACCGGCGAGAAGGATGCCATCTGCAAGCCAGGAAGAAGGCCCTTACCAGGAACTGAATCTGCTGGCACCTTGATCTTGGACTTCCCAGCCTTCAGAATAGTGAGAAATAAATGTTTGTTGGTTAAGAACCCCGCCCCCCCCATACAGTTGAGATTTTTTGTTTGTTTTAGTGTACCAAAGAAAGAAAGAGAACATTATGTTTGTAATATAGGCATGCAGATTTTCACTAGTCTGATTCCTTAGTGCTTGAAAACAACTAGGTTTTTAGCCTTTTATGAAAAGTAGACCTCAAACAGCTTTCCCTTTTTTCCTTTCTTATTTTTCCTTTTTAGCTCCATTATCACGAGAAAACTGTTTGCTATTGGAAGGACTTGTGGAAACTCGTTTGGTAAAATAGAAAAAAAGAAAAACCTAAGTGACGGTCAAGACTTTTCATAAGCGGTACAGGAATCCAAATTTACATACTCTAAGTTTAAAGCTTTATTAGTGACTACTATTTAAAATATCTATATATGCATCTACAAAAGAAAATAGCCAAGACAGAGGGAGATGTGAATATCAAGTGCATTCACATTTTCCTCGTGTTGTTAGTAGCATCCTTCAGAAAGCACTGATTAAAAAGTAAGGCCATTTCTAGTTTTTGGTTTACTGGCCTATTGCTTACCAAGTCAAGGCTGAGCTAGGGGGCCTTGTTCCAGAAAGCACCGACTTCCTTTCTGATTGGAAATAATCTGTATTTTGTTTGACCTTCAGAATGGCCTTACTGGAATACATGGGCCAACATTTGTCCTGGCAAGGGCCAGGGTAGTTTAAGATTGGTGTCCAGGGATTGCTTTGTAGAGCAGTTAAAAGCAGTGGGAGGAAGGTAACTATAGTAATTCAGACATTTGCATCCTTTCTGGCTTAAAAATCAAGGGGATAATTTAAATAGGCAGTGTTTGAAAACAAACAAACAAACATTTCTCGAAGTTTCTATTTGTCTGAACCTTTGAGAACTTTGCCAAGGTCACAGTGTTCTTTTGCAACTGACCTTGATATATGTGAAGAGGGGATTACAGCTTATTTGTTATGCTGTGCTAGTATCTGTAATCCTTTTCTAAAGATCGTCAGATATGGACCTTGGAAAACACAGTGTCCATGTCTTTTGAACCATATGTTCTTTATGATGCTTTGCTTATAAAAATATTGTTAGTTGACTAGGGATGTTCACTAATGACAGCTGGAATTAGGCCTCATGGTAGCTTTTTTTTGATCAGGCTGGAGGTGAGTCCAAACCTAAGGTAAAACTAAAAGTAATTGTTCTTATTTTAAAGTAAATACATAATTAGAGACTGTATACTGAGTTCTCAAATTCTTAGCTAGACCAGTAATTCTTGCTACTTAGGGCCACAATTTGGTTCTGTCAGATGTATAATTGTAGAGATGATAAATGACAAGGTACTTAGGGATGAGATGAATTCATATATGGTGACAAGATGTTTTCTTTAATAAGAATGTCATTATATGGGAGTAATTGAAAATAATCATGTATTAACGTCAAAATCCTGTATTAGGGGAAAAATAAGTAATTCATATCCTGCTTATGTAAAGGGATATAATTTAATTTCTTAATGCTTTATTTCACTTTTATTGTGCTCCCACTCTAATACTTGAATGTTAGCACCTATTGCACAAGTCTGAAGTTTCTGTGGAGCCCAATATGTGGGAACCACAGCTTCTCGTGGTTTTCCAAATACAGTCCCATAAAGATGGAAGACTCAACTGCAACAGGTGGCACACTCAGGCAGAGACAGGCATGATTCTGACACTCATTGTTAGCTGCATGTATGTTTGCTGTTCACTCATAATTACAAAAGGGAAGTATCCAACTAAAAAAAGGTAGAATAGATATAAAAGAAAATGTTATACAGGTTTGTACGTATTTGCTTACTACAGTTGAGAAAGCAGGCATGGTAAGTGAAGTGCAAGAGTTAGGGAAAAATGAGTAGAAAGAAAGAAAAATAGATGTTTTGATAATCTTCATCAAATGTTTTCTCAAAGGCCAGCCTCAGATTTAAAGTATTATGCAGCTGTAGTCTTTGGCCTCTGGTAGCTTTCTGATAGGAATTCAGCCTTGAGTTGAACTTTGAGATGGGTTATTTTCTTTTCTTTTTTTTTTCTTTTTAATTACTGAGTGACCAATCTGTTGTAGTTTGTTGATCCATTTTCTCCTCTTACTGTCCTTCTGTTGCTTTCTCCATGAGCTGCTGTTTATTCTGGAATGTTGGCCATCCAGATTTAGAATTAGGACTTATGTGCCTCTATCTTTACCAGGGATGGAGAAAATCTGACCTAGTATTTCAGTTCACAAATTTAAGCGGACTTAGAGGGGTTCTAATCCACAGTTATGTTCTCAAAATTCCCGTTTTGAAAGCCACCGTCTTATTCAGTAGTTAATACACAAGCCGAGCTCTTCTGAGTTCACACTGTGGAAGCTTCTGCACTCCTCTGTCTTTGGTTAGCTGTCTCCCTTGGGGTGTTTAGGAAGAGTCTGATTTTGGCCAGCTTCTTTCCTTGTCTATCCATTTTATAACACAAGCCACTGAAGCCCAGACTTTTTGTTTGGCAGATCTCGTTCATTAGTCTCTTGTGTATCTCTCATATCTCACTTTTAAGGTTATTGAATTCTTCGCCATCCATTACTTTTGTTCATTTTGACGAGGTCAGTCGCATTAGCCCCAGTTCACAGGTGAGGAAACTAAGACAGGTGCCCCACGTCCAGCAGCTTGTTAGCAGCAGAGCTGAGCCTGGAACCCAGGCCTTCCAGCTCTGAGTGCAGCCTTCTCTCCTCTGTGCTCCCTGTGCTTATATTCTCATTGTGTGCTGTGGTCTTCCTTTTTGGAGGGTGATGGTGGAGTGGTGAGGAGAAAGGAGGTTCTTTTCTATTGATTTTTTTCCATATATTTATTGGTAACATCTTTACATTTTTACAGAACTTCCTGGTTTAATTAAAAACCTGTCAAATGCACGATCTCATTTGTTTTCATAATGACCCTGGGGATTAGCTAGGACAGGTATTATCCCTATTTCAAAGATGAGAAAACTGAGGCTTAGGGAAAGTGCTAAGTTATTAGTGGAATTGGAGCCATACCCCAAACAGGGTTGTACTAAGACTAAAGTGAATGATAATTAAATTTGAGCTTTGCCTTTCTGTAACATACATGGAGCTCCTACTGTGTGTCAGTTTCTATGGATTCAGAAAAATACCTATTTTTAAATTGCTCACAGTATAGTAGAGGTTCTTACAGTTCAGGGGGTGCTGGAGGTTAACTTTGTTTAAGGACATTATTTCTCTAGAACGGAGGAGGTGGTACATTTGGAAGGCTTTATGCTGCAGAATTGCAGCCAGATATGTGTTTACTTTTGTGAGTGCCTGTTTTATTTGCCAGTTTATTCATTCCTATGCATTTGGATAAGAAAATAAATACAGTTCTGTTTTGGCTCCATGAAATAGTTTTTATGTTTTCTGGAATTTCCTCACTTATTGTCTTTAATATCCCAAAGTTTTATTATGACTCATTTTGGCCATACAATAATAGAAGTAGTAGGTGTAGGCCTGTTTGAAGAGATTCATTAAGTAATTTGGGGAAGTATATTTTTGAAGCCTATAAATATTAATTTTTTCTTGGTGTTGAGATTTGTTTCCTGGTTGTCAGTTGTGCATGTTCTTGTATGTTTTGGATGGGGAGGGTAGAAAGTTAGGAGTTGAAAGACCATAGTTTATTTTTTTCCTTTGGCTCAAATATGTAGTTTTACCATAAACTACTGAAAGTTTCCTGTTCTTGTTTGATAAAAAAGTACACTTCCATTCATTGTTTCCATGTAACTTCCTATACTTTTTACAGTAAAAAAAAGTTGAAATCTAGGATAAATTATGAGTTATCTTTAGGGGCAAAGAAACTCTATTTCATTTCAGAAAAGACCTTAAAAAGTGAACCTTCTTGAGTGTGTGAAACTGTAATAGCCCTTGGTGTGTGCGTGTGTGTGTGTATGGAGATATATGTATATATATGTATATATGCCTTTCCTTACATGATAATGGCTTGCAAAGAGTGCATTTGGACTTCTGCTTCTAACAGGAGAAGGCAGGGAAGATTCCATGTTCGGACTGGATTTTAGAAAGCCGGGTATCATAGAGGGGCTCTTTGAGTGGCCCCATCGTGTGTTTTCTTTGTGAAATGGCTCTTTCCAGGCTGGACTGTTTGGCACAGGGAGGATCACGTGTGCTGACCTGCACCAGGGAGCATTGGCAGGAGTAACTGATCTCTGTGACTGCTGCCTGCTGACATTGACGTGAGAATGAAGACAGGAAAGAATGGTGACTACAGCTTCCACTGAGGAACTACAGTGGACGAATTTGCAGATGATGCTAAAATTGTAATTAATCTGGGATGTACAGGTTAACTGTCTCTTCATCCTGAAAAAAAAGTGTTGGTGGGGAAGGCCACCATGAGAAAATGGGAGGGGGGACTGTAAGAACTTTATCAGAGCTAGTTATATATTTGTTTTTTTTCCTCTTCTTAGAATTGTTAAAATGCTTGAAGCCCCAGAAGCAATAGGAGAGAAGGGTTTTTACCACAATTTGGTGTGAACTAAATTCCTAACAGTTCACCCTTAGTGCATCAGCTTCACTTTGTTTGATGGCTTGCCATTGGGGCAGTGTCCCTAATATTGTCACTAATATTATTACACAGTATCAGTTTTACAGCTGGTTTGTGCTTCATGAAGGAAGCCAGAACGTTTTAGTGAGTTACAAGGAAAAGAGCTGTCAAAAGTCCGTATAGGTTATGGTGTAGGTGGCATGGCCACCTTCTGGCCCTCGCGCAGAGCTGGATTGACTTAAAATGGAGTGTAAATGGCAATAAGTGATGGGCTTGAGGCAGAGACACAGGCCTGCAGCCAGAGTTGGAAAAAACCAGAAGTATAAAAAAATATAGGCAAAACTATAAAGCATAGAAATGTGGGACCATCTGGTAGAGATAAATACTGAAATACCCTATCAAACCATAATAAACTGTGATTAGTATTCATAATGCTGACCCTACATCTTCAAGAAAAAAATACAATAAGTGAGTTTCAGGATGCTCAGAATAGTTAAGATGGACAGGAAGTAATTATGCATGTAGTACATTTTAGGTAGATTTCCCTTAAAAATGACTAAAGTCATTCTTTTTTTTTTTTTTTTTATTTCAACTTATTATGGGGGCACAGATGTTTAGGTTACGTATGTTGCCCCTGCCCCCCCCCTTCCCCCTAAAGTCATTCTTGAAAGGAATAAAGACTTAGTTGGAAAATTTGCTTGTGTGGAGTATGTTGAATAAATGAGGCATTTACCGTGTGGTGGGAAGG